GGGGTATCTGAGGCAGGCTTGAAACACAAGAGTCAGGGTGGCTTCTGGGTAATACCAGATGGCTAGGCCTCAGACTGACGAAGCCTCTTGGATGAGGGGCGAAACGTTTCTTTTTAACAAAAAAAACGAAGTCCAGATGACATGATTCAACCTTTTTTGTTGTTATATACCTGGATGACTGAGAAAACAAACTTTGTGTTTTTGAAACCATTAGTGAAAAGGCCAGACTTCAGGGGTATCTGAGGCAGGCTTGAAACACAAGAGTCAGGGTGGCTTCTGGGTAATACCAGATGGCTAGGCCTCAGACTGACGAAGCCTCTTGGATGAGGGGCGAAACGTTTCTTTTTAACAAAAAAACGAAGTCCAGATGACATGATTCAACCTTTTTTGTTGTTATATACCTGGATGACTGAGAAAACAAACTTTGTATTTAGTGTTCAGTTTCTGCCACTAAATGTTCTTAAATTCCAGATTAGCGGTCAGCAAAAGCCAGAGTAAATATATTTTACTTAACAAATACACCAGGGAGGAAAGTGTGGTTAAATGAGACATTGTGGTGCAAAATCACTGCATTAGAATGACCTCTTGTACACCTGTTGCAAATAACCACTTTGTCTTGTGCAAATTACACTTTTTTCCCTCAAAGAAAATCTGTGAAAGTCATAGTTTAATAAACTTGGGGGGGGGGGGGGGGGGGGCTAAACACAATAATTTAGTCAATCCTTTTTGAGTAGAATCTAACCTCTTTAGAAAGTTTCATCCTTCATTTTTTACAAGTAGGTCAGGGTTGGTATCTGATGCACGATGGGTGTCTGTTGAGAACAACCTGCAGTGCTTTCATTTTTCCTCTCATGCCATACTGATTCTAAACTTTGCACAAACAAGAGTCAAAATTGTCTGAGGTTTGTCCAAATCCACTATCATGATTTCTGCTCTTGGAGAAAATGTTCTCCTGGTGAAAGTGAGCACAAAAAGTTTTTCTTTAATTTACAAGAACATGGTTCTATAAAAAAATATATAATCTAAAGGTCTTCAGCATGCACCACCTTTCTAATAAAGGACATTTTAGTTACTTTATCTTGATTGTAAACAATCTCTGCATTTTTATTTTATCTTCATAGAGTTTGGTAATTATTGTACACTACTAACTGTACCTAAATAACATCTTTGTTCTGCATAATAGTGCTTAACATGTGTTACAAATGACGTGCTGTAAAGGGTGGGGACTTTTTTTTATTTACTTGTAGTCATCTTAGTTGGAAGATAAAAGGCTACAGAATCTTGTGCTCAGAGCAGAAATTTTGTGAAAATGACTTGAGAAATTTGAGATGGAAAAAAAGGAAGAGAATATGCTCAAAATGTGATATAGTAAAAAGGAGAACTGCGTAGTTTTTTTTTTTTCTTTGTGTGTGCGCCGGGGGGAGTGTGTGTGTGCATGATTGCACTAAAAACAGAAGATCACTGAATGTAAAGCAAAGGGAGGGGAGAAATATTGTTCCTTATTTGTCCTACTTCCTTAAGAACAGCTGTGTTTCACCGGGAGGGTGGTGGCAGATGTAGGGGAGGTATTTGCAAAGAGGAAGGAAGAGAAATAATGTTCTCACACTACGGCACATGCTTTCACACAGATATATGGAATCTGATGGACAGCTACTGAGTTTTCTTTCCAAGTTTTACTGCCTGTGCGACGGCGAGTGTCAAGTGTCACTGTCAATCTCACCATTTTTCCGTGTGACTGACAGTGACATCAACACAATCACTCGTGTCAGCTCACCTGGATCTGTACTTGTAGAACGATGACTGAGCTCAGGATAGCAAAGAATGCCTTACTGGATGGACTTTTTCACAGTCCAGGCAGTAGGCCATTTCTTAAGAGGCGATGCTTCAGTGATGTGAGTATTTAGCATTTTTTATATATTAGAGTTTATTTTCTCTGCCTTTTTTTAAATTTGTTTGTTATCTCTGGGTAAAACGTGCATGTTTAACATTAAGGAAGATCTAAGTTTAGACCCATGCATTTTCGCCTGTAACCTGATCAAATTATGTAAAACACATTATGCAAATTATTTTATGAAGTGGCACATTCAGCCACAAAGTTTGTAAGTGCTGTACCTGCCAAGTGCTTACACAGGACTGCTTACTTTCTTTCTGTCAGGGAAAACTCAAGCCTAACGTGGTTACTGGAGTCTGCCTGGTTCACTGAATATCTGGTCAGCATAGAGCAATGTTTGCTGATGTTTGTTTTTCGGGGGAGCAGGAGGATCTCCCTAAACATCATACATCACCATTTACTTTCACACAAAACAATAGACCGGGGCTGCACCAGTGGCTTTACTGTTTCAGGGTCAGATGTGTGTGTTCATTCGTGTTTGTTGACAAGTGCATGCATGTTTAAGTACATATACATGTGAAAAGTTTTGATATGCATGTTTTCCAATGCGTATGTGTGCATGTGTGATTCGGAGGGCCTGCAGCGCCCCTCAGTAAATTCAAGCTGTCATGTGGAAACATTAGCCTGGCACTGCAGTCCACTCATGTTACATGGTGAACGGAGAGTGCACCCTACAACAAACACCGTGTTGTCAGGGCTTCGGCATTGCACGTTCAACACAGGTTGGGAGTGCTTCGAATCCTGAACGTGGACTCCACAGATGAAAGGTGCATGCCTCAGGGTATGTTCTTTGAATCAACCTTCACCAGAGCCTCTGCTAATTAAACTAAACACAGAGCAAAAACATTTAAGCTGTGCAGCAGTGAATGGTTGAGGTGTAATTAAAGTCCTGGAGCTGGACTGAAAAGTCTCTGTCTCATTGTATACAATAAGACACATGTTAATTATAAAACAGCAAGATCCTTCCAGGACTGAACTGAAACCTAGTTGTAATATATTTAGGCGCAATCGTTTTTCCTCGCTTCCTGACCGTGTTGTCTCAGTCAAACAGTACTGTGACTTCAAACTGCACAGCCAGAGAGTATTTCCACTAATTTGTCTGTTGCACTCTGTCAGAAGTGCTGTTGGCTTTAGCAACTGAGAGAAGCACCATGAGGTTCTGAGCCTCATTTCTACCCCAAGAGTTACTTGTTTACAGTGTGTTTGTCTTAAAGTGTAAAGGAACAATTTCAAGCATTCTCCTAGCATTGAATGGAGCCACATTGACTCAAGCAGGCTGTACTTTAACAAATGCAGAAGACGTCATTTTAATTCAAGAGATTCAAATATACTGTATATATATTTTTTTGTAGATCATAATTTAATTTTTATAAAGTTTATTTAAGATTTGACATGTGAGGATGATCAAACCCATGTCCCTTTGTGGATCTGTGTCAAATCTCTCCCCCAGACCTCGGACCTGTTTGCCATGATCGAGCGGATGCAGGTACTGTGCATAGTCTCCTGGCTCAGCCTTTTTTTTACATACCCTAGCTTGTCTGCTTTTCCTCTTGTAGGCGTTAATCAAACTGCAAAATAAGGTTTTTACTCCATTTGGACATAACATTTCCATTTGTGTTCCATTTTAATACTCCATTATTTCCCCCTTTTCTTTCTATTTTTGGATTCAGATCTGCAAGCCAGCAGATGTGCTGTATGCCCATGTCCATGTGTCCATGTGTTATTTTAGATATTTGCAGCTTCAGGCTGTGTGCAGAAGCCTTGTGTTCTGAATGTGCTGAAAAGAGTCTTTGTGTTTTTTTCTTCACAGTTGTTTAGTTTAGTCTGTGTCGTCAGATGTGTGAAATGATTTTTCAGACGTATTCTTACTTCTACGATGTAACGTAGCAAATGTAACAATATCTTTGTTGTTCTGTCAATGTTGCAGTACGAGACACTTATGAGATCCACACTGTAAATTTAATATACCGTATTTTCCGGTGTATAAGTCAGTCCGGAGTATAAGTCGCATCAGTCAAAAAAAAAGCACCACAAAGAGGAAAAAACATATATAAGTCACTTTGGTGTATAAGTCGCATTTATTATGTGTTTATTTAATGGTTTTAACAGCTTCATTTAGCCTGGGCGGTGCCATTCATCCATCCATCCATCCATCCATCATGGCCAGAGCCACTAGTGCTCCAGCATTCCTCTGTCTGCACCAGCTGAGTGAAGTGCGTGTGCATGGGAGGACTCGCTGTTGCAGTTCTTCAAAATTTAAAGCATCAGACAAAATTTGCGTTATGAATAGGAGAAAAACTTCTATAAGCCGCTTTGGCGTATAAGTCACAGGACTGACAAATCTATGCAAAAAACCCTGCAACTTATATGCCTGAAAATATGGTAAATAAATAAATAAACTGTTGAAAGAGTGCATGAGTTGAACTTTGATCTGAAAGTCTTTGACTCTACACATTTTCTTGAACTATATCCTAATGTAGCTCTCAGTTTTCTTTCTTATGTGAACTCATAGTCTGTAATCCATATATATTTATGTCCGTATATGTTTGACTTTTGTTAAACGGTCAGATATTTAATTAGAAAATAATTTTTGACAACATTTTCAAATTATGTGTAGAATTTTGTTGACAGATGTCAAACAAAGCACAGAACTGCCACTATTAATATTATTTTGAAGGTTTTCTTTCACTCTAATATATTCTGTAACTAGGCTAGTTTTATCACCTCATCTCAAGAAACCAGGTGGTTTTTTTTTCTCCAACTAACAAGATGATAATGGTCTAAAATGAGTGTCTCTCATATTAAACCCATTTTCATGTTTAGTATATTCCTTAATGCAACATTATTGGGTTGAATCAGTTGCCGGCATAACTGTGCATTCCTGATGGATAATGTTTTCTTAAGCAAAGCAAGATTGTCTAATAAAGAATTACATATTTAAACCCATAATCTTGAGAAAACAAGAAAGGTTTTTAAATAATCTTACAAAATAAGTTTCTAAGGATGCCCTTTCATGGCTTCCATATAAAACAATGTTTGGGAATTCAACAATGTTAAGGTCAGATATAGTGCTATACCAAAAACATGTGGCAATAGTTAACACAACCCAGTATCTACAGGGTATCTACCTAATACCAAGTTGTATCAAACATTTAGATCTCTCTTGTAAATGAGTCCTCGAGGCTCAATGGGATTAACCTGTCTAAATAAAGGTTGGATGAAAAAAAAATGGCTACCTATTAAATATGTTCAAGCCCTGATCATGCTATTTAAATACCAGACATGCGAACAGGAGCAAAAGTTTAACACAAGTTACACACGTCCTCCAGTAAAAGTGATTTTTTTTGTGTGACAAACTAATAGAAGCACCAACAAATTTTGGAGGAATAATTTTATGAAATCCATTTCTATTTCTATTTAATTTATCTTCACTGTACGCAAACTTTGGTCATTTTATTACATGCTTGGGGGGGTTTCACAAAAGTTGGCAGCTGCTCAGAATTGCCTTTCTTTCTCTATGCATTGAACACTCTTGATGCACAAGCAGGATAGAAATAAATAGTATTGTTAAAAGTTTTTTTTCTTTATTCTACAGACCTCACATTGAATTAAGGGCAGCACAATCTGTATTAAGATTTGTCCAAAACCACCCGTTCTCATGGACCTCTGCTTATTTATTTTGCCTACTATATCTTCAGCTATATCATTACTTTTTCACTTCCTCTTTCTGTGTTCCATCTGATGAATGAGCTTGCATAAATAAACACGAACTCTTGTTGCAATAAATTCTCATGAAGTGTACCACTGCACAGTGAATTTTATGGCTCATGTCAGTAAACTTTTGTTTGTCTTTTTATAGCTGAGAACAGGCTATGGAGATGTTACTTAGTGCTTCAATGTCATTTTCTTTCTCCATACAGGGGTGCAGAATGGAAGAGCAAAGATGCCCCCTCCCTCCACCCCTCAAAGTGAGTCGCAGGTTCACCAATCTCCTTGTAGAGCATAGGTTGGCAAAGCATCATTCATCATTCATCAGGAATTGCAGAGTTATAAACCTTGTCTTATCAGCTGTCAGGCAGGCTTTAGGATGCTTACCAGCTGAGTTACGAGTTCAGCAGGGACAGTTGCTGCAAAATCCTCCTCTTCTATTACCTGCACAGACTAGTGCAGTCACAGATGAAGGTTAGGCTAACAGAAGGTCATGTCAAACAGGGTAAACCTGAAGTAACCTGGCAAGGAAGTGACTAAATGGAAAATTTTGGAGTTTGAAAAGAATACTTATCTTTCGCTCTGCGTTAATGGTGTGATCAGGTATTATGTTCTCAGGTATTTGATGGACAGGGACTCATAAAGATCAGGTTTAGCAAAAATCTGGATGAAAATATGGCAATAAACAAATATCTTTCCATGTATTATAATGTAATGGGATTTAATATAATGTAAAAGTTTCACAGCACACTGAATTTACAAACTACGTGTTGGTTAGATAATCCCTGAAGCTCAGCACCTGCCTTACACTGAAATATCCTCCCTCTTATTCCCATGGATTAATCTCATTTGTAAACATCTTTGCTCCCAACTCAAAAGCAGATTAGGAGTAACCAAATGTATTTACAAGAAAGTGTCGAGGGAACGTTTATCTGCATGCACCATGCTCTATATCTTATGATATTAATATAAACTTTATAACCTTTTCTGCTCCTTTATCATTATTGTGAATGATATTAAGTGTTTCCATGATCTCCCTCTCAGTCTTGATGTGACTGTCAGTAAGGAGACAGCGAAGAGATCATCTTTATTATGCTCAAGGTTTGATTGATATGGTAGACACAGTGACATGTTCCCAGAGAGTCCTTGAGAGGTGTTTTCTTCTTCGGCAACTCCCAATCGTTTCTGTGCACAGCTGCTTTGATAACAGCTGGATAGTTCAGGGTGAGGGAGGAAGGAAACTGACACCAGAAGATCCTATAACCTAACAGCCTACTACAGGAAGCTCAGAGCGGGTCAGAACTCAGACAGGTGAAGGCATTAGTAAGTGTGTACTTGTAAAAGAGTTGATTTTCTGTGAGTTGTTGACTCTTTTCCAAAGCTTTGCAATAAATATGATGAAACCTACACCCGATCGTATCGGAATATATTTTTTCCACGACTGTAAGTGTCATATACTGGTCATATTTATAACAAATTAGTTGCATAATTTTTAATTGTTTCCTCCTGTGGATAACTGGAACAATAATAGCTATGAGCTAGAATTTCAATTCATATAAAGCATCAAAAAATCTGTAGTGTTTTCTTTTTAAAAACATTTTTTTAGCTTTAGATTACTGTGGTAATAAGTAAAGAACAAAAGATGTTGTAAATAAAGGGGGATTGTCTGAATTTGTTTTGTGAATCTCTAACCTCTACATTTGCTAATGCCACCGATACAGTGTACGGTATAGTGGAAGGTTATTGTTTGAGCATTGATCATTGCCAGCACTATTTGAAACTGAATGTGTTCAGTTGCACACACAGAGACTTGGAGGTGTCCAACAAAATCATAAAGATAACATTTTTGTTGTTAAATGGCGACCGTAAACAAGATGTACTGTAGTACTCCAACAAAACAGCAGAAGCTGACGCTAAACTGCTTACCGCTAAGACGACTAGTACACAGTCTGTGTCATACATCTTCATCTCCTTCCAGTTGAAGCTGCGTCAACCAAGCGCATTTTATCCAGGGCCTAAACCGATTGATGCCAAAAGGCAAATAGCAGGCAGGCCGTTGACTGGGGAGTGTCTGGGGGTCATCCTCTTGAAAATTTTTATTAAAGAAGACGTGATTTCCTGCATTTTTGGTGTATTTTGACAAGTTGTTAAACATCTAGATTTACCTTCATTTGTAAACACTCCGCTTCTGTCAACCCCCTCACCCCCCCACCCCGCCCTCCCCTTACTTGACGGAGCCATCAAGTATGTCGGGCTCGGACTCTGTCCAGGCTCGTTGTAGTCCCACTCCACCTGTGAAACCTCCAGGCGCCTGCCCTGCTGCTGCCTGTAGGCTCCTGCCTGCGTACGACTGCCTGCTCAGCACTTCGCTCTTTTAGGGGCGGAGATTTCTTTAAGGGTAGACGTGGAAATGAATCACTTGAGAGGCAGATCGTATGCTGTTGTGTTTAAATTTAGTGTTGATGTAATTATTTTCAGTTTATCCAATATAAGTTTTGTTCATTCAAGGCAGACATATTTGTCCATAACTTTATTATTTGTAATCCTGCGAGTTACCAGATCCAAGCTGGATCCTAGCAAACACTTATCAAAATGCACCCTGTCAAAACAAGAGAGTTCTCGGATTCTCTTCCGGCAGGATCCGGCTCAAATTAAGCCCTGGTTTTATCACATGCACACGTTCTAAGCCAATAGTGTCTTCAGCTAGCTGCTGCTGCGTTGACCAATCATGTCTTGTCACGTGTACATGTAGTAAGTAAGCCAAAGACGTGCCTAACGGACTCTTCGAAACACGACAATGATAGACTGGAACAAGTTTGTGAATTTTGTTTGTGGACTTAAAGTTGGTGAAACCGAATTTAGTGGATGATAATTCTGCTAACGGTTACCAAAGTTAATGAAAACGCTAATCTGCTAAACAAGAAATGAGTTTGGCTCAAGGGCGTCAGAAGAATCTGTAATGTGAGGGGGACACAATGATGTGTGTAGGTGTGTGTGTGCGCGCGCGCATATGTGCGCGTGCGTGCATGTGCGTGCGTAAAAAAAAAGGTGTTCACTAGTGAACAAAAAAGCAACATTTCACCTAGATTTCCTTTAATTCCACACATTTAAAACATGTTTCTCACCAAGTTTGTGTAAATTCAGCTGTGGGTTTAAAGTAATTTTAAATTTAATACACTTTAATAAAGAGCTTCAGATCGGCACTATTTGTGTTTATAGAGAAATAAAAATCATCACTACTAGACTTTTTTACTTGTGTTCAATACTCCTCATCTAAATTATGTTTCTCATGAAGGTTGAGGACAATAAGGTGTGGGGTTTTAAAGACATTTCAACTTTAATGCACCTGAACACACAGCGTCTCTTACACCTGCAGCGTCTGACAGCCTCACAGTTACTGCTAAGCTAAGATGCTACAGATATAGGTCCTCTCAGGCATCCTCCTAACATGAATATATGTTTATGATCAACCCCCCCCCCCCCCCCCTCCCCGGTCAACAACTGCCCGCAATAAGCTCACTAAACTGGCGAGCAAGTAACACAGAGATGTCTCCATCTCCTCCACCTGTGCACATGTTATGCCGAGACAGGAGGAGACGCACAGAAACACTGCAGGTGTTACACCATATTCTGTGACCACCGTATATTGTGACCGTGGCAACAGGCTGCTGTGTTTAGAGTTGGAGGTAACCAGGAAAACCTGGAGTGGAGTTTTAGTGGTTTGGGTATTCTCCTATTAATCAAGTGGAATGGATTTGTTCAGGAAGAAAGAGAAACCGTGCCGACTGAGCTAATATTTCATAGTAAAAGTGAGGGGGTCCAAATGAATGTTTTTGGAATGTGGGGGGTACTTGTCCCCTTCACATATAATGGTTGCGACGCCTATGGTTTGGCTATTAGCTGTTAGTGGATAAGCGTAACTGTGCCCACCACAACTGCTGATAACTTTCAGTTTACATTTTGTTCTCAAAGCCACAAAATCGTCAAATATTGCTGACAAAATCTTAGAAAATTGTGATTTGCTAAGAAAAATGTTTTCCTCACAGCTGTGTCAGAAAGGCTTATTGCCATGTTTGTGGAATTAGAAAAAATTCTGAAAGTGTGTAGTTGTATATTTCTGTCCATTCTTGGTACTGCCTGAGGAGAAACACTTTTTTTTCACAGTTTGACACATCTGTTTCTCTCCCTTCAGACAGAAGAGGACTACATCCCCTATCCAAGTGTTCATGAGGTACATTAATATCCTGTGCACATACATCACTTAATACAGAAAGTTTACTAGCTATCTTATTTTGATTGTGATCGATCTCTGCCAGGTGTTGGGTCGCAGAAGTCCTTTCCCCCTCATCCTGCTTCCCCAGTTTGGAGGATACTGGATCGAAGGAACCAATCATGAGCCTAAAGACCCTCCAGAGGCTGAACAAGCTTCCTGCCTGGCTTCATACATCAAACTGGAGACAAACAGCACGGCAAAGATCTACAGGAAACATTTTATGGGCAAGGTGAGGCGGGTGTTCTCATGATTTGTTTATTTAATTTTGTATTTTAATATAGTATTACATTCTTCTACTTTTAGTGCTAATTTCTACATAATCTAGCTTTAAATTGTAAATATGCACATGAACTGTGAAATGAACACATTTTCTTCTCTAAAAGTGTAAGTATTAGTTTATTTTTAAATTTATTTAGTTAAAAACTGGACATGTAGGTAGATATGGGAAAGCAAACTAAGAACAAACTATAGAAAAGCAACATATGACTACTGCCCGTTTGCTAAAAGATGGAGTTGTTATTGTGTCACTTATTGTCATCTACATCCTCCTCACATTAACATTTACTCTGCTCGTCCGCCCCCAGGAACACTTTAATTACTACACCATTGATGCTGCCCTAGGCCACTTGGTCTTCTCAATGAAATATGAAGTCATTGGTGACCAGGAACATCTTCGTTTGATGCTACGGTACAGTTTCAAAGTATTTTGTTGTATCTCAGGCATTTATATCCTGAGGGATTTTGTTTTTTTATCTGTTCCTTGTCAGTTTTAGCACTCACCTCTCCAATGCCTTTTGCAAATTTTCATTGTCTTTATTGCATTTAAACAATTCTTGTACCTCTTCTGCCACTTCCTTCTTTGCTGTTTTTGTAAATTGTCTTTAACAATTGGCCTTGGATTATTTTCCTGCTTGGTTGCTGTGCTGTTACAAAACTCTCTTGCGAAATCTTTTAGTGAATTATGAGTTCAGATTTTTTTCTTAATTTTTTAGCTAGGTTATACAGCCTTTATGTAAACAAAATATTTTATTCAGCCTTTGCAATGAAGAATGAACACTGCTTTTAATAACATATGTCATATGTTTATATATACACATGTTCAGGTCTCTCTTGTAAATGAGTCCCAAGGCTCAATGGGACTAACCTGTATAACTAAAGGTTGAATGAATGGCTGTCCAACATTAACATTATATCCAAGAAAAAATAAATTTTCATGAAACAGTTGTGCAATGTGGCCACAAACAGTTATAGTTATTCACTAATGCACCACTTGATTTGATAGGAGCCTTGTAAGTTAGCTCATGCAACCTCCCATTTCACACTTACTCACCAACTCAGCTCTGTGACTCCCTCCCTTGATGGCTCAGATGTGTAACAGCAGCTGGTAGACTTTAAATCCTGACAGGGCTAATGTTTAGTTGAATTTTAGTATGTAAGTATTATTATCTGTGCTACTAATTAAAGTACATGTAATTAACATTTTAATTTCAAATGTTCAAGTTTTAAATTGATGGATTTGTTACTGTCAAAACAAATTTGGAAAAGGTGTTTCTTTGTTAGTTTGCTTACACCAAATACTGCTGCACTCCTATTTTTGTACTTACAGAATTTTTGAAATCCAAATAAAAATGACCCATATTTTATGTGAGAAGATAAAAATGTTAAAAACTCTTTGTAAAAAAAAAAGTTACTATATTCAGATTGGTCAAAATGTGTCCAATAATCAACACTATTCACGCAGGCTGAACTTGTGTAATACCGCCCTTCCACCAGTGCCTAAAGTTGGATTTGCTCACTGAAATCTTCCTCTTGAACATATCCTGATGCATGCTCAATAATCCAGGTAGAAAAATCCAAAAAAGTTCAATCTGGTCCTCTGGACATTCAAAAAAAACAAAAGCAAAACAAAGCAAAAAAAAAAAAAAAAAAAGCTTTGTTTTGCTTTTGTTTTTTTTGAATGTCCAGAGGACCAGATTGAACTTTTTTGGATTCCTCTTGAACACTTTTTGCTGGAAAGAGACAAGGAGGAAAGAGGCAGAACTCATCATGTGGCGTAATCTGAAAATTTAATTTAGCACCTGAAATACTCTTTTTAAGATTTTAATAGTTGTGTTCTTTCTTTGTTTAATGGATTTTTAGAGGGGATGAGTGTGCAATGAGGTAACAACCACTCAACCCACATTCTTCACATAATGATGTTCTCTAGTGGGCCGACAGCACCCACACTCAGATTGTCTCATCTAAAGCATTTGGATGACCTGCAGAAAGAGCCATATTGTTTTTATTTAACTTAAAAATATGTGGACACTGTAAAGATGCAGGTTTTGTGTTTTGATATAAAAAAAAAAAATACAACGCAAAACTCCAATATAAAACATCCAGTGAAATGGTATTGTTTTAACTATTTTCTAAATAATCAGCATATGAGTCCCAGTTTTACTATTGTGACATTGCACCTTTTTCCATCATGCTCTCTCCAACAGAAATGTATTTTACAGCAAAGGTACTTTTTTCAGTACAACACCGGCAGATCTCAAAGGGTGCTGACTGAACTGTAAAAACAACAACAAAAAAGTGATGATGCATTTCCTATAAAAATGTTTTTAAAAAATGGTAAATATAAAATATTTCTTACTATTCATGCGACTCATGAAGGTGAATTGAAATGATTTAATTTTCAGTCACAGTCTCACTAGATTCTGAATATTTTTGACCAAACTAGGCTTATTTTTGTGTGCATTGTTTGAATGCTAAATTGTCTTTTAGTCCATTCAAATTATTTTGTTGCTCACCTCCACTCACATAGGCACAAGTTGGATAAGTAGATTCAATTCAATTCAACCTTTATTTATACAGGTTGGTCTCATTGAGCCTCGAGGACTCATTTACAAGAGAGACCTGTTTTTAACAAAGATAGTTCTATCTTAACTGTATCTTAACTGTATCTTATCTTTATCTGATCTTTATCTGATCTTTATCTGATCTTTAACTGATCTTTATCTGATCTTTATCTTATCTTTATCTGATCTTTATCTTATCTTTATCTTAAC